TTCAGAAGATTTGTAATAAGCCTCAGTCATTTGAGGCTATAGAGTTCATAGAGAAATGACAGACATAGTGTCCATCACACAAATTTATACTTTTTGCAATTTGTAAAAAATAGTCTCCATTTTATGTGACAACTAATTTGGGACTAATGATAAATTCATCTTCTTGTTACAATTTCCCATCTACAGGGAAAAGTAAGAAATTAAAAGTTCCAGAAAGGGGAAGATCCTTCTTGAAAATACCATAGTTGCTTTTATATATGGTTTGATTTTTTTTTGATCTTGAATGCCTGTGCAGATGCTGCTCTTCAAAGGCAGACTTTTCATCACTAGAGTCCTCCCAGTTACAGGACTTTTACCTTTGCGTTTGGTATGAATCATTTTTTTTTGTCTATTTTTCACAGAATTATGCCATTACGAACATTTGTTTTTATCTTTAAACCTTCCATTGGTTACTGTCACTGGCTATCCTGTTTCCAGTCTCACTTGCAGTGACTCTTCTGATTGTCCCTCCTAAAGCCATAAGCCACATTTGCAACCTGCCTGTGACATCTGTCGTGTAATCCTGGGAAAAAGGGCCATAACAAGCCTGACTTAGTGCAAAACACAAATTTCTAGCTTGAACAGCTGCTTGTAGAAAAAATTGCCTCAGCAAGTCAGTCAGGGGAGTAAAGAAAATTTATCTAGGTCTCTTAATGCCTGCTCCTAAATCACAACAATGCAGGTGACTGCACTGGGCCATGACTCCAGTGGTTTTGAGTCAGCAGTGCTGTACTTTGCTGGTTGTTTCACTGGTAACCAGAGAAACTAAAGACCTGGAAATTGGTGTAGCTTATGCTCACAGCTGAAACAGTCTGTATCTCCTTTTGCACTGGGAATTCTCCATCACAACGTTTCCATGGCACATTTTGTCTGTCTGGATGACCTGACTCTGCAGTATCTATACGCCAATGTATTTTCTAAACAAAACTGAGAGCATGAAAATGTATCATTTCTTTGGGTTTGTGAGAGAAAATAATAGCTATATATCTGCCAGATTGTGCTGCTAATTACAAGGATGTAAAATGAGAGAAGGTCACAGTAGCTGATGGAATGGTCCCAAGGTTTATCAGTGTGAAAGAGAAAAGAATTTAGTGGAGTTTAAAGAGGAGTAATGATTTACTCTCTCTCTTACTGCAGCTGCTTCACCCCCTTTGCTCCTTTTGCTTGATGATATACAAAACATAAAAAGTGAACAACTGAGCTAAGTGATGTGTTTTCAAGGGTTGTACCTTGTAACTTGATAGTCATCATAATCCAGATTCGCTGAGGAAAAGATTTATTTTTGCTACTTTAAGAAGATGTTGGTGATGGATTTCTAATTTGTGAAACAGTTATTTCTGTGAAGGTTTTAATGTAGAAATAATTAACTATTTCCCTTTTTTAAAGGAGTTTTTCTGTCCTCACTACACTTATTCTCCAAGTACAGTTTATTATCTAAACAGTGGTGCTTTGAGAGCTATTCAATCTTTGATTATGTCAGTGGTTAGACCAATACGAAACCATGCAAAGTCAGTTTATCTAGCTGTCCTGCTCAAACACCATAGGAAACAAAAGGGGAATAAAAAAGATGTAAAAAAAGGAAAGGATTCAAGTAAAGAACTGAGTAAGTACTCTGTCTGCACCTTGTAATCAACCAGGGATATAATTGTTCTTTAAACCTTTTACATGGCTTGGAACAAAATGTAGTCTTTTGGAAACCAGGTCATTGTAAAGACAGAATTGCATGCCATTTAATGTTTGAAGGTGTTTAACCTCTGCCAACTTTTCCACTGCAACACAAGTCTTGCTGATTTTGGGTCATCTACATTTGCAAAAAGCTGGCAAGGAGCAATGCTGTTCTGGATGTAACTAGTGACTTTTTGTCAGATTTTTGCCTGTGGTTTGTAAAGCATTTTCCAAACACTGCGGATAAGAGTAAATGAGATTAGCCTGAAGCTGAAAGTCATTACAAATGCAGTAGAAAATTGTCCTTCTGTGGGTCCTGCTAGAGATTCAGAGAACAATTGTGTCACTAGCATTTAACTGACTTGAAAGAAGAGCAAATATTATCCAAAGCCAAAGATTTTTTTAAAATAAAATTATGATGATTTTTTAACTGATGAGAATCTTTTCTTGATTGAAATTCTAGTAACTTGAAATTTTCCTGTCAGTAATTCCTGTATTTGCAGAGTTCTTCAAATATTTACTTTTTTTAGCTATTAAATTTTTGCTCACTGGATCAGTTTGGGAATTAAACAGAAGCTGTTTTATTAAACATCTAAATTTCTCATGATCAGAGACTGACTTTAAAACTCCTGGAGAAATAATGACATAATGGCTTGAGTAAGGAGTCTGTCTCATGTATTATTTCTGCAGTGCCACATACAACAGTTTGCTATAGACTAAAACTCCTCAGCAGTGGTGGTTTTTTACCAAGTGATGTGAACTGACTGGCATTCTCAGGACCTGGGTTTTCTACTCTTTTCCCCCTGGTTAGCACTTTCCCATGAAGTGCAGGATTGTGTAGACATGGAAGCTTTTCTCACATTCAGAAGAGATCTAGAACATACTGTTCATGCAGAGATAAAAATGCATTACTTTTTCTTGTGGGTCTTTGGTCTCCAGAGCAAATCATACATTGCCAATACCATAACCACCCAAAAATAAGATGGAAAATTTTTCACTGTATTAAGAGATTGTTCCAACACTGGAAAGAAAGAGCAGAATATAAACCTCTAAATGAATATCTAGATGAATAATTCATAGAAGGGATCGTAAGAAGTCAGATTTTTACTGTTTCCTCTGAAAATAATCAGTAGTTTAGGGACTGTGGAGTGGGTGAAGATTTTTTTTAAGGTGGTAGAGAAAGTGTTTGGTTACCCATAGATAATATCTACTACAGGAAAGAGGTTGTCAATATATTATTATGACTGTATATGTGAACCAACTGCATGAAAAGGAAACTAAAGTTCTAACAGTATGTGGCATGAACCAGTGTGTAGCTGGTATTTGAGCAAGCCTCTTCAAATACAATCCTTAAATGAAAAGATATGAAAGCTGCTTGATAAATATAGTAAGCCCTTTCCACATAGCTTCTTCAATATTTTTTCTTTTCCTTCTAAAAGCATCATCATGTGATCAAGAACTTCAGTCAGCCCTGGAGGAAGCTAAACAGCCCCAGAAAGACAATGTATTCATTCCAGAGTGTGCTCAGGGTGGCCTCTACAAACCAGTGCAGTGCCATCCTTCCACCGGCTACTGCTGGTGTGTGCTGGTGGATACGGGACGTCCCATCCCTGGTACCTCAACCAGGTAAGGGAATATACATTCAGTGCTCAAGAGCTGTAGTGAGAAGATGCCTTAGTGTACATGTACTAGCATGTAGATTTTTGTTGCTTGTAGAATTATGTCGTACAGGTTTCTTTCACTATAAAGTGAAATATTTCTAAGAGACATCAAAGGTTAAGGCCAGATGGCCACAGACTCTTTCGCTGCAATGTCACAGGCAGTTTGCTCTCCTAGTCTTTGTTTTTACTTCTCTTTTGCACTGGGAAGCCAAAACTCGGAGCAGATAATGAATAAGCCCAGAGGAAACCTCACACTCCTTAGCCTGAATGTAGAAGAACCAAGTAAGTTGGTCTGTGACAGAAATCATGTCCAACCTCAGAAATGTTCAGTTATTTTTCCAGAATCCTCCTCAACTGTTTCATATGACTGACTTTGATGGACCAACTGCTTGGGAACCCATAGAGAGGAAATATCATTTTGGTGTGTTATTAATAGAAGCTTGGAGTTCAGTCATCTCAGCTGAGGCGGATACATGGTAAAGTGTTGTAAGCCACATAGAGCAGATGTAGGCAAAGAAAGTATCAGGTTCCAAAGGATGTTATTTAGGCTGGTTATTGAGGTTTGGCCCTTGCAGGAATGCTATAGAAGCTCATACAAAGCTGGCAGGAAGTATGGGTATCTTGATGCAGTCATAAATCTTTTCAAGCTTAAGCAAAAATAATTTTTTATCATTTGCGTAAGGTTTGTAAAAAAAAAACCATTATAAACCACTTGCTGTAAAGTATTATATTCCTCAGGAGTGTTTTTCACATACTCTTCATGTGCTGATTTACTGATAGCCATTTATACCACAGTCTAGACCATGACCATGTGGCATTACAGTGCCACAAGAAGTGAGCAAGACTTAAAGTTACTGTTGATCTGCTGTTTCTGGCAAGCTGAGACTCATAAACTCTCAAAACAAAATAGTCCAAATTTGGTTGTGAAACTCCAAGATCTGTATACGTACTGTATGAGGACATAGAGGTGTCCTCTTGAGATTCCAGGGGCTCTCTTTTCTACTCTTCCTCTCTTTTCCATCCCTAGGTTTTCTCTGTTTCTTGGTTTTACTGCTAATCCTTCTGTGAATTGTAGTTTAAATAACGTTATGAAACCTTAGTTCCTATTCTCTAATTTGAATTTGGGTCATCTTGTGCTTGTTGGGCAGTGAGGTTTCTGCTGATCTGTTTTTTTAGTTCTTCTTTATGAGTCTCATTGTACCATAGTATCACAGAAGAGTTGAGATTGGCAAGGACCTCTGGAGTTTCTCTAGTCTAACCCCTCTACTCAAAGCAAGGTCAGATAGAATAGGTTGCTCAGGATCATGTCTGGTTGAGCACTGAATATCTCCAAGGGTGGAGAGTCCACAGCCTGTTCTAGTCTGGGCAGTCTGTTCTAGTGTTTGAATACTATCACAGTTAAAAACCACAGTTTTTTCTTATGTTTAAATGAAATCTCTTGTATTTCATTTTGTGCCCATTGCCTCTTTTTGTGTCACTGGACATCACTGAGAAGAGTCTTACTCTGATTTTTTTTTATTTTCCCCTCTTTGGATATTTATAGACATCAACAAGATCCTCCTCTCTTCCTCACACTGAACAGCTCCAATTCTTTCACCCTTTCATTATGTCAAATGCTCCATTCCCTTAATCATATTCATGGCCCTTTGCTAGACTCACTCCTGTATGTCCACATCTCTCTTGTTTGGGGAGCCCAGAGCTGGACCCAGCACTCCAGAGATGTCTCACCAGTGCAAACTCGAGGGGAAGGATCACCTCCCTTGACCTGTCAGCAATACTCTTCCTAATGCAGCCCTGGAGACTGTTGATTTTCTTTGCTGCAAGGCCACATTGCTGCCTTATACTGAGCTTAGTGTCCAGCAAATGCCAGGCTCTTGCCTCAGAGCTGCTTTCTGGCTGGTTGGCCCCCATCCCTTTCTGGTGCAGAGGGCTAATCTTCCCCAAGTGTGGGGTTTTTGTACCTACCTTTTTTGAACTTCAGGGCTTCTCTGCCAGCACATTTCTCCAGTCTGTTGAGGTCCCTCTGAATGGCAGCACAACCCTCTGGTGTATCAGCCGCTCCTCCCAACTCTTTATTTGTTAAAGTTGTTCTCTGTCCCAGTATCCTGGTCATTAACGAAGAGGTTAAACAATATTTACTGTAATATTGAACTCTGTGGCACTCCACTGGTGACTAGCTTCCAGCTGGGGTTTCTGCTGCTGATCCCAGCTCTTTGAGACGAGCAGTTCAGCCAGTTTTCAACACACCTCACTGTTCATTTATCTAGCACATACTTCATCAGTTTATCTATAAGAATGTAATCAGAGATGATGCCAAAATCCTTGCTAAACCTAAGATAAACAATATCTGATCTTCTCCCCTCATCCACTGAGCAAGTCCTCTCATCATAGAAGGCTGAAGGTTTGGTCAAGCATGAATTCCTCCTCATAAATCCATGCTGACTACTATCAGTCACCTTCATGTTCTTCATATATTTTGAAACACCTTTTAGTAGGATTTGCTTCATCATTTTCCAGGAACTCATCTAAGGCAGGCTGGCTTGTTATTCAGCTCCTCTTTGCCCTTCTTGAAGATAGAAGTGACATTTTGTTTCTTCTAGTCCCCAGGGATATCCCTCAGTCACTACAACCTTTTAAATGCAATGGAGAGTGCTCTCACAATGACATCACCCAGCTCCCACACCACTTGTGGGTACATCCTGTCAGGTACCATGGACTTGTGAATGAATAACTGATTTGATCATTTTCCACTACGGGCAAGTCTTCCTTGGTCTAGACTTTTCTGCTTCTAGTCCTGCTCTAAACTTCTCAGAGACCTGGAAGTCCTGAAGACATCTTACAAGTGAAGACCAAGGAGAAGGTGGCATTGAGTACTTCTGACCTCTCCCTGTCTTTCTTCACAGGGTCCCTGTCTCACCCAGCAGCAGGCCCACAATTTCACTAGTCTTTTTTTTTTTTTCTTTTTTTCAGGTAGGCATTTAAGAAGTCTTTCTTGCTGCCCTTCATGCCCCTTCCCAGATTTAGCTCCAGGGGACTTTTGGCTTTCCTAACCCCAACGTCTGCACAATTGAACAGTGTCTGTATATATTCAATTTCACTAGTCTGACTCTGTTTCCATCCTCTGTATGCTTCCCTCTGTATGATCCTGCATATCAGGATCAGTTCATGGATCTAGAGGAGGTGATGCTTGAAAATCAACCAGCTCACTTCCCTATTAATGAAAATTGCCCCTTATGTTTGGCAACTACACAGTCATTCAGTGGTGGGAGAAAAGGTGGAAGGGAGGTCTTTCACTATGCTGCATGTCTCTGAAGTTGGAGGCTGGAAAACTGGATTCAGTCATTTCATGCCTATGGTTTAGACACAAATCTTCCTTTTGCTCAGTGGGTGCTCTACCTGATGACAGAAGCTCAAAAGATCAGCTGCTGTGGTCTTGACGATTTCTAGTTTGTTCAGCTTTGCTGGACTTATGGAAAGCTCTCAATGGAGTTCTGAGGAAGTACTGTTTAATTATATCCCTGGAGAGGACGTTTACAAGCACACATGGAGTACTCAGTTTTAGGAGTTTCATAATAAATAAAGAATGACTGATGTATTTAGGAATCTACAATCCTGGTAAACAAGCAGGTGGGATTACTGCTTCGAGTTTAAGAGAAATATCTAGAACTCATTTCTGAGAAAGATTTAGGTGGACTGTAATATCAGTACTTATATATATATATTTTTTTTTTTTTCCCCTATATTGATAAAATTAAACTTTGAGGGAGAATAAAGAGAGAACAGATTATGATGAGAAATATGCAGTTGTCTTTTTATAATTCTTAAGAATATAATCTTATAATAATAATTCTTAAGAATAATTCTATAATTCATAAAAATGGAATGGAAAGTGTGAACATGAGAGTCTTTGCTAGTTTAAAGAACCAGGGGCTCTTGCAAAATGGTGTCTGTTATCTTCCATCTTTTCACTGCAAAATACAAATTAGAAGAGTAGCTTTTAAATTCTATTGGAGGAACTGATGTCATTAGTACTCCTGGTAGCAAGATGGATATGTAGCATCCTGGAATCTCTGTTCAGCAAATTTAGACTGAATGATAGTGAAAAGATAGAGAGATCTGGGAAGCTGTTGCCAGAACAGCTTAGCGTTTTGCATATTGTTTATTTTGAATACATTCATGAGGATTAAATTTGTCATGTAATCTGGCTCTGAATACCACAATAAATAGCAGTTGCATTAAATTAGACCTTCAAAAAAATGAAGAGAAAATATTAAAGAATACATTCGCCTTCTAATGTCCTGTTATCTGAAGAAAAGGTAAATCATTTGTCAGTGAAGGTATTTCAGAAAAAAAAAATCTCATCCTAGAGTTAAAATATATGTAAATGAAGAACTACTCTAGGACATTTAAGACTATAACTCACTAGAAATAGGTGAAGTTGTGATATAAAGCTGGCTTTCATGAAAGCCTGGGGGAAATATCCATTTGGGTAAAAGGAGGTAATGCATTTAAATGGTACAAACAACCATTCCCCCAAAAGTCTATCAGTATGGTCCTCACCAGCTGGCTCCAAACACATCTTGGATATTACAGTGTGACCCTCAGTCTTTTTGCTCAGCAGGGCCATTAGTCTGTGTTCTCACACGTGACTTTTTAGAAACTAGGATCACAGGCAAAGTAATTCCAAATCTACTTGCACAAGATTCTCCAAGCTTAACATAGAACATAAATCAGACACTTCATGAAGCTGCCCACACTATAGAATTCCTCTACCTCCATCCTCTACTCCTTTGTGCAGCTCAGTAAATTTCTGTGCTTCCCAGCAGACTGCTCAGAGGTATAAAGCAGCCATCATAAACCCTTGCCAACACTAGATATACATTCACTGCTAGGGATTCTTTCCCCTTTAAAATGCAAGAGGGCAGCCTGGGGTGTCTTTTGACTACGTTATTTTTAACCTGACAGTGTTCCATTCTGACATGCTATCCCTTTCCCACTTTTCCCAATGAAAACTGAGGCAAGTGTGTTTTTCTTATCAGTTCTTAGCATAGCTGTTCCTCTATAGTAACTTTTTTATGATTAGTTTTCTTTTTTTTCAGTTGCTTTAAAGAGTTAAATGCAGACTTTTTACACTGCAGCATTTTAACACCTATTAGACTTTAATAGGTTTAGTTGGTATATGGTGAGGTACATGTGTATTTAACATATATATAAGCTAAAAGGGTAGAAGAGTAGAGGCTGAAAAAGAAGGTATAGGCACAGAGCAGTAACAATAACAGACGAGGAAGAGGGGAATGCAGTCAGGTATCAGATTAATGGGGGACCAGGCTGGTTGCCAGATACCACATTAGTTGCTCAGAGATTTCTTTTTCACTCTTTTCTTGGCTGATTGAAGTCCATCAGGTATCTGAATCCAACCCATGCTATCAAAGCAACGTCTA